ATTACATAGTATACTATGCTTGGACATTTATTATTATTTTTAATATTTTATTATTTTTCAGAGTTTGATTTATATGCATTAATTGTGTTTGCATACAATTGTTGTAATCGTGTTGTAATATAATATGCACACAAATTTATTGGATACAAATTGTATATAATATATAGTTAAATGATTATGATATATTATAAAAACTATATTTTATAGTTTATATTACCTATATTATAAAAACAAATATAAACTAAATGCTATATAAACTATGTAACATAATACATTTATATTTAACTTATATATAAATATTTAACTTACATACTTTATAAGTAACTTGTGAACTTTTTAGCCTTTTTTTTTTTTGCATTTATAGTATAGTCATTCACATATAATTATATATTATAATTTATATTATAATCATTCACATATAATTATATATATATATATATATATATATATATATATATATATATATATATATATATATATATATATATATATATATATATATATATATATATATATATATATATTAGCTATATACCTTAATATAAATGTATCATACATCTACAAAAGTAGTGTTGGGTGAATTCTATTTTTGTTCAGAAAAAAATTGAATACTCAGATCTGAAAACAATTTCAAATCAAGATAAGACTATTTGAAATAAAAAAGTAAAAGTTATTAAATTGTATCGCTCAGATTTTTAGAAAAACAGTTTTGAAAATGTAAACAAACCACGCTTTTAACAGTCAGATAAATGTAGCAGAGAATCACAGTTTTTTATATATTTAAACATCTTTATATTGTTTTTATCATTTTTGAATCAACAACTCAATTATCTTTATTATTATTTCATTCTATCAAGAATATGCAAATAATAACTACTAAGTAAAACTTTAAAAATATTGTTGCTACTCAGAAAAAATGTTGGTATCTAAAGGCCGTCACCATCTTTAAAATTATAATATTTGAATTTGACACTGCGCTTGCGTATAATAACTTTCCACATCTAAACGACCGTGTGGTACATTAATAATGGTGAATAAGCTACTACCACTGATCTCTATAATAACTGGATAGCGCAACTCTGAACAAAATTTTGAACTTTTTGACGCCAAAATCGCCATATTGGAAAGCCCCAGATATTTGAATAAGTAAGCCTTTTAAAAAATAAGTAAGCCTTTTAAAAAATTTATTTATTATTTTCATTTTAAAAAAACCTTTAAGTAAGCGTTTGGCTTAGTTTTTCGACTAATCGCTTTAAAATCAGATTTCAGCTAAGTTGAATATACAATAATGTACGGATTAAAAAAAGATCTCTGAGGTTCAGAGTGTTGTGCATATGGGTGCAAAAAAGGAAAAGAACTGAGGGTTGAAGAAGCAATATTTTAGGAAGTTAATATAATAATAGTATTATTATCTACAATAAATCTTATATAGTTATTTTTATAGATATCAGTTCTTAATTAACATTCATATATATATATATATATATATATATATATATATATATATATATATATATATATATATATATATATATATATATATATATATATATATACACACACACAAATAGATAGATACAAATGTAAATCAGTATGCACCTTTTGATTCTTAATTACCCTCTGCAAAATGCCTGAGGCTTGTAACATATTTGCAAAGTAAACAGCTTACACATTGTTGAATGAATCATTAGTTGGGCTATGTGAGTGTAACACAACCCAAAGGTTCCTTAGGCAGTAAATAGTGATTATATATATATATATATATATATATATATATATATATATATATATATATATATATATATATATATATATATATATATATTTATATATATATTACAAATATATATATATGAATGTATATCAGTATGCCCCTTTTGATTTTTAATTACCCGGTGCAAAATGCCTGAGGCTTGTAACATATTTGCAAAGTAAACAGCTTATTCATTGTTGTATGAATCATTAGTTGGGCTATGTTAGTGTAACTCAACCCGAAGGTTTCTTAGACAGTAAATAGTAATTGTATATATATATATATATATATATATATATATATATATATATATATATATATATATATATATATATATATATATATATATATATATATATATGTATATATATATATATATATATATATATATATATATATATATATATATATACTTATACTTTAATATATATATATATATATATATATACTTTAATAAAACAATTACTGGCTGTTGTTTCAGAAATTACTAGATAATGGGTTACCCAAAAAACTTGTTAGTTTGCTTACATTTTGGTATAGTAATCAACAAATGTTTGTTCGATGGCAAAAAACAAAATCAAATAGTTTTAGAGTTGTCCCCACTTCTATTTAACTTTTACATACAGAATATGATTTTATTAATCTCAAAACTACGTATTGGATGTAATATAGGTGGCTTATGCTGATGATATGGTTTTAATTGCACCATCTTGGTATTCTCTTCAAAAACTAATTAGCTTTACAAATAAGGAATCTTCCTTAATTAACATATTCTTCAACACAAAGAAAACTGTATGTATGGTGTTTAACCCAACTCAAAAATTATATCAAACTCCTTCCCAGAATTATGCATATCAGGCTGTAAAATTGTTTTTGTTGAATCTTTTAAATAACTTGGCCATATAATTAAAAATGACCTAACTGATGATCTTGATATAACCAAGGAGATGAAGGGTCTTTACACACGTACAAATATTTTAACTAGACACTTTCATTTATGCTCTACCAGAGTAAAGGTCAAATTGTTTAAATCATATTACATTTGTTTATATGCTGCTCCTCTGCAGCAAAATTATAATGATAAAACAATGGCACGCCTTCATTATTGCTACAACAAATGTGCTAAAATGTTTTTTGGCTACAACAAGTATGATCTCATGCTTTTAGAGCACAGATTACCATCTCTTTATACAATTATCTCGAACTACAGACATGCTTCTTGTAAAAAGTTGATGGCTTGTTTCTTAGTAAATAATTCCATGTGTTCTCTTAATCAAAGTTTAAAAAAATATTTTTCTTGTAAAAACTATGGACCTGGCACCTAAATTGTATCTGCCTGTTGTCTGAAATATATTTATAATAATAATAGTATATATATATATATATATATATATATATATATATATATATATATATATATATATATATATAAGTTTAAAAAAATATTTTTCTTGTAAAAACTACGGACCTGGCACCTATATTGTATCTGCCTGTTGTCTGAAATATATTTATAATAATAATAATAATAATAATAGTATATATATATATATATATATATATATATATATATATATATATATATATATATATATATATATATAATTATTAGTAAAAAAACTCATCTAACCAGTAAGAAATCTTTTTTCTTGGTTAGATGAGTTTTTGATGTTGAAGACAAAAATTAGATAAGTGTTTTAACTATTTTATTATTGCTGTTCTTAAGAACATTGAGCACTCTGTACTTGCAAAATGCTCTAGAATAACCTAACATAATTTAAAAAATTAAACAATAATTATACCTGTATTTCTTTTATTTTCTCTTTTGTTTTTGAGTACAATATTTTACAAGATTTATTATTATTCAACCATTAATTATCAGGATACAACTGATAAATGTAAGTTGAAATAATAATTACTTTCATAAAACTACATGTGTCTCTATATCTTTCATACTTTGATTGATGAAAAACAATAAACGCTTAAATATCTTGTAACGTATGTCACCAAAATAGCAGAAAAAGAACTTAGTAACAACATATAAACTTAGTAGTTATATAAGTTAAAGCTTTTCGTACTTTTTATAAGTGGGATAAAAGTTTGTGACGCAGCAGAAATAAAACTTGGTAGTGTATGATTATCAATTTCAATCTACTATAATAAAGTCGATGATATTACTTTTGCAGTTGCGGAAGAAACCAACATATCCTGAGTTTTTTAAAAACTATGAAAATTTAAAACCATTTAAAAAATCTTTGATACAATATTTTTTTGTTATGTTTTACACTTATAAAGTTACTTTCTCACTGCTATTATAAAGTAAGATTGCATCAAGTTGTAACAATAAACATTCTAAAGTAACCAGAGTAAATATTAATTTTGACTTTCAGCAAAGTAGTTTCATATTGAACATAAGAAGATTAATAAAGGTAACAAGTTTATACAAAACAAATACAAATTATTAAACAGTCTGTTCTCCTATATTCTTTATTTCCATTCAACTCTAATTTTGTTCGTGCTTTTTTTTTTTACTTTTTCAATTTTCAAACTTTCAAACATTTTAAAAATAACAATATGATTGAAATATGCAACTTTAATCTAGTCAATGTAAAAGAAGTAGTAAGTAAAGCAATAACAAATTTTCAAGCGCAATCTCTGTATTTTCAAATTCCGTTCAGTATTCTGGGGCTTTCCAATATGGCGATTTTGGCGTCAATTTTGATATTAGAGATGCGCTATCCAGTTATTATAGAGATCAGTGGCTACTACGCACAATTTTGGGAGTGTTTAGCATATATTTAGAGCCCCTTTATTTATAATGGGTTGTTAATAACTTATGTTTATTATCAACCCATTCTAATTTATGTAATTATGGCACTTATAACTAAAAAATTACGATGTTGTGACGGGAGGGGGAGGTAGTCAAAATGCTCAAAAATTGCGTGGACAATTTTTGAGCATTTTGACTACCTCCCCCTCGTAATTTGTGGACAACGCCAATACAATTGCTGCGTCACAAAATTGTGTACCTCCTCTCTCTTGTAGCAAATCGTCGCAAAAAAACTCAAAACAATAACTTTTAAACAATAGCGCTTAGTTTTTTGCATTTTCAAATAAACAGTGAGCATACTTACTTCCCTTTGATTTAATACATTCATAGGTTTTTTTAAATATAATTATAAAAATAAAATTTAGAAAAACAACTTTTCACAAACGAAATTTATCTAATTCATCTTTAAAATTACCATACATATAATATAATAATCAGCATTTATCCAAGGTGAGTAGAAGTGTTCATCCATTGTGTAAAGTGACAAGGAAAGATTTTTTTCTACATCTTCTTTTGGTATGATTTGAACATTAGATAGATCTAATTCATTTTCTTCAATCCAATCGATATGCTCTCCGTTTTCCTCAAACAAAGTTATTGCCATAAGCTCAGTTTGAAGACAAGCAGCCAAACAAGTAGGCACTTGCCTGATTATGTCAGAAGCAGCATCGATTGGTGATTTTGAATTTACATGGACAGTAACGTGTTTTCAATAACACATTGGATGAAAAATACATTGAACATTTTTTAAAACATTGACTCTTAAGAAGAGATTGCAAAGATGGACAAAATAGATCATAAGGTAAAACTCTATAACCCGTTGTCAGGTTAGACATAATATCATCTAACTTTAAGGTTTTTCCAATAAAAAGGGACGGAAACTTGTGGTTTTTATGGCATAATGCGTTCGGAACATGGAGCCGTTCCTCTGGGAATTGTGATAGCGGTATCAATGGTGGAAAAAAACGATCAGACTGTAAAATATAATCCTCTTGGTTGTTTACAGCAATTCCGATTTTCTCACTTAACTATTTAGAGAAAATACTGGCTTGTTTGCACATGACGAGCATACCAGAAGCTGTCCTTGGTTTTTAAAGTACTAGATAAGATTTCTGATTTTTCTGGAACAATAAATTCAGCAACTGCAGGAAACTTGTCAATTGAAACATTAGACCAAATTTACGCAAAAGTTTCACCAGCATACTAGAAATTTATTTTTTCAAGAGTATTATCTATCGTAAAACCAGCATTGTTAAGATGATTTCCATAATGATCATGAGGTAGGATCACGCCTGAAAGTTCACGACTTAATGGTGCCATTCTTCTCTCGACTCGATTAAAAGCGCTCCTTCCTGGTGCATTTGCAGCCAAAAATAGACTATCTAGATCATGTTCAAGAAAATGATGAACTGCTACCTAAATTACCTTTAAAAAATATTTAATTTATCATGGGATTAACTAAGCTAATATAATTTATTTACTTAAATTTACACCTTTTGATAACGAGGGTTCTCACCTGGACCTCCATCTACAGTCAAGATGACAACTGGTTTAACAAAAGAACCATTTTTAGAAAAATCAATTAATTTATTAAAATCAAGAGCGTGAGATAATGCAGTCGATGACGAATGTCTTCCAGATCTAACAGCTATATATGTAGGGCCGGAGTAATCTACGAAACTCGGTTTCCCTAAACCATCAGAGTGCACTTCAATAGCAACGTACACAGATGGGATCAATTTGTGTTTATTAGCAATAACCCAGTCATGATCTGGTAGAGTAACTCTATACTCCATATGCACAAGCAACGGCGCTTGCTTATTTGCAGCAGTCAATCCAATCGGAACCTAACACAATGTGAAAATAATGCAGATTAAATTTTTATTGATATGAAAAATTAAATAAATAAAAAAACTTATATTACCCTGGCTTTGTCGTCCTGACTGAGAAAAAACTTCTTTTGGACCAAGGAGAGATGATATCTCTTCAAGACGCCTGATTGTTTTTGTACAGAATTTCCCATCAATATGTTTGGCATGTTTATCATTTTGGGATCTAATTAACTTAACTGGGACAGTTTTTATATGCCTCTTCCCTTCTTGAGTTGCGCTGTTTCATGGATTCAGTCGAAGATAAGTACCGCTTCTACTAACTTGAAAACCTAGCTGAAAAATAAAAATTAATGGGTTTATTTTTCTATAAACTTATCAAATGTAAATTAAATAGCTACTTGACAAAAAAACTTAAATCGATTAAAAAAAGAAACAACTTTATCAATAAAAGTTTTATAAATAATTAACTAAATGAGATAATTTGTTTAGCATACTATTAAGTCAAAGTATTTACTTTTTCACGGTAGTCCTAATTTTCAAAACTACAAACTACCTCTTTCAAAGTTTCAGTCAGTTCACTTAACGTTTTTGTACTTCTAATAACAGCATCTCTTCTTTATTCATGAGCTGCTGAACCGTAAAGAGCAGTGTCACAAATAGTTTTTAGTAAATCCGGTTGTTCTTCTTCAGTTCATGGACACCCACTTGTCATTTGAAGGTTGAGAGTCTTTTTGCTGATGGAGTTGATTTGCATAGTTTTTTTAAGGCTTCCCTCCTATTACTTCTGAACTTCCGGTTCTTAACATTGAATTTTTTTTCTTCTTTAAGTTCTTTTCTAGTTCTTTTTTCTTCTCTTCTTTTCTATAAGCTCGTTTTCTTGCGCCAATGTTAACTGTCCGCATTCTTTTCTCTTCATCAACCCAATCAAATCTCCATTAATCAAATTAATTTCTTGTTTTAGTGAATCTTGAACTTTTCTCTCCGTCTTAGCACATCGCACAATTGAATCTGATTTGGTTACTTGAGATGGTTCTGCTACAAAGTCAATTTCATCAGAGGCTACGTGGAATAAAGTTTTTGATTTATCAACTTCTAAATTGAGGATTTTGTTGCAGCTGACGACCAGTATTTAAACAACTTTCCTTTTACTTTCATTGCTTTTGTTGAATATGTGTTTAATAATTCTTTTACTTTTTCAGGAAGTTTTTCATCATTTTTTATTTCATTCCATATGATATTTATTTCTTTTTGGCAGATTTTTAAAAAATTTTAAATATGACAACACAGTGAGCCACCGGTTAAAAAGGTTCCGCCTATTCAAAACAATTTTTAATTCCTTAACGAGCCATTAGCTCATTAGGGAATTAAAATTGCTTTCAATAGGCGGAAAATTTTTTTTTTTTTTGATTTGAGTTTTTTACATGAAATATAATAAACCTTTACATTATTTAATATAATAATTTTAACATTAAATGTAAATAATCTTTGAGTTATCCGAACCGGGAGGTAAATTACGTAACGCTTTAGGGATATACGAGGGAGGGGGGATCGGATTAGTGGTTTTGTGATAACAGTTTTGTGATAAAAGTTACAACTATTTGACTAGTGAAAAGGGGCCAAAAAGGTAGCAAATTGGGTGACGTAATTTGTGGACAATTTTGTTTATTTGAATAGATTTTTAGCTTCTAATGACAAATAAAGTAGACCGATATTCAAAGTATTTGTTTTTGTTAATTCTTAGCCGTTCTTACAATTTAAAAACCAGTTCTGTCATATATTTATTTACCAACTTACAATTATCATATTTATAACAACAATCCGTGAACTAATGCTTTTTTCAACGCAAGCATTCAACAAGAGCGATGCGATTTTACCACAAGGAGAATAAAAAAAAACAAAAAACATTTCCATTACTTTACATTTGAAAAAAATATTCAAGATTAATCTAAAAAAACTATTTCTATTTTATAACGTGTATTATACTATGGCAGTAACACTTTCTGAAATAAAAAAAATGTTAAAAGAAAAGCTTAAAGAATTCAAAAAAGAAACTGAAGAAATGTTTCGTAAACAAGAGAAAACTGTTATTGATATTATTGGCGCTAATATAAAAATAATTAACGACAGAATGGACAAAGCAGAGTTAAACATCAACGTGAGTGCAAACAAAATTAAAGAACTTACAAAGGAATTGGAAGATATTAAGCATAGTCTAAACTACAACGAAGAACTAGTTGACAAAAAAATTCATAACAACAATAAACAACTAGATAAAAAATTCGAACATACTAATATAGAAAAATTTATAAAGAAAAGCAACGAAACCTGGAATAGATAGATCGAGAAGAAATAACCTACGAATCGATGAAATTCAATCATGAATTCCATCGATTCATGAGCAAGAATCATGAGAATCATTAACAAATAACTAGTACTCCTAAAAAGAAATCCTTTTTTTTTATATATATATATATCTATTATGACTAATAACTTTGAATTCCTTTTTTTTAATTTATATGAAACAAATCTCTTTTCTTCAGAAGAATACCTAGACCCTGAAAATAATTTTTATCGTAGTATTTTATCCGATTGTTCGTATTATTTTCCAAACCAACTAGAAGGGTTTCTTTTTAAGAACGCCCGCGAAAAAAGTAATAATCAAATTAATTAAATTAAAATGCTATTATGGATGTAACTATGGATGTCAAGTTGACAACGAGGGTATCAATAATCCCTTGAAATATTGTATAAAAATTGATAAAGAGTTACATCCATAATAGAAGTTTTAATTTAATTATATTTCAAACTCTTTAATGATGTCTTTTAAAATTTAATAATCAAATTGTAATTCTCCACCTCAATATAAGAAGTTTGAAATGCAATTTTGAAAAACTTTTAAATCTATTAGAAGAAACTAAACATATTTTTAATATAATTTGTTTAACTGAAACTTGGATCACAGAAGATGAAATAAGTAGTAATTTTGATATTCCTTATTTTAATACTATTTCTATAGAGAGAAAAACAAATAAGTGGAGTAATAATTTATGTTCACGAAATTTTTGAGTATTGTTTTAGGAATGATTTGAGCGTTTCTGACTGTGATAAAGAAATTATAACTATTGAAATTACTAACAATCAAACTAAAAACATATTATTAAGCTGTTATTATCGGCCACCTGACGGCGTGAGCGAAAACCTGAGCATGTTCTTACAACAAATTATTAAAAAAAGAATTAATGATAAAAAAGAAAACTATATAGTCGGAGACTTGAATATGAACTGTTTTCTCTATAATGAAGACCAAAAAATTAAGAATTTTTATGATGCAATTTTTGAAACAGGATCAGTTACTTTAATAAATCGACCCACTAGAGTAACAATAAACACAGCAACTCTTCTCGATAATATTATAACTACTGATATTTTTAATAATAGTATACAAATAGGTATCATAAAAACTGATATATCGGATCATTTTCCTCTATTCTTAAAACTTAATAAAACAAACCCAGAAAGAAACATTAATATAAAAATAATAATAAGAAAACGCATTTATAATGAGGCTAATATTAAATTATTTTTATTATATATTAATTTATTTATTATATTTAAAAATATTAAAATATCATTACGGCATTGGAAAAACATAAATTTTGATGATAACGCAAATAATATTTATGAAACTTTTTTCAAAACATTTTTTTCTGTATATGAAGTTTCCCAATAGTAGAAAAAACAATAACAACTAAGAATATCAATACACCCTGGTTACTAAAGGTTTTAAAAAATCATCCAGAATAAAACAAAAGTTATACATAAATTTTTTAAAAACAAAAACAGCTTCAAACGAAAAAACCTATAAGAACTACAAAAACTTATTTGAAAAAATTACTGACTATCTAGAACCCCTGGATAATTACATTTGTTCAGATGAGTTATCTTCCGAATTAATGTTTGATGAGTTTGAAAGAGCCTTTAAAATCTGTTAAAAATATATAAATCAATTGGAGCAGATCAAATTAATGGAAACGTGGTTTTAGATTGTTTTGAACAACTTAAAGTTGTTCTTTTTAAAATCTTTAGGGCTTCTATCCATCAAGGAGTATTCCCAGAACAATTAAAAATTGCAAAAATTATTCCTATTTTTAAAGAAGGGGACAAATCTGAAATCAGTAATTATCGCCATATCTCTGTTCTCTCCAAATTTTCGAAAATTTTAGAAAAAATTATATTTAACAGAATATACAAATTTTTTCATGATAATAATCTACTTTACATCAATCAATTTGGTTTCAAGAAAGATAACTCAACTGAACATGCAATTATCCAATTTGTACGTGAAATCTCAAAATCATTCGAAAAATCACAATATACACTAGGAATTTTTATTGACCTATCAAAAGCTTTTGATACGGTCGATCACCATATTTTAATTTATAAACTCAAATACTACGAAATAAAAAATAAAATTTTAAAATGGTTTAAAAGTTATCTACCTAACAGAAAGCAATTTGTACCATTTAAGAATGATTACAAACCCTCTTTTCTTAATATAGCCTGTGGAGTCACACAAGGTTCAATTATTGGACCTCTCCTTTTTTTAATTTATATAAATGACTTAAATAAAGCTTCAAAACTAACAAGCATTATGTATGCAGATGATAAAAATTTATTCCTTTCTAACTATGATATCGATGAACCTTTTAAAACAGTGAACAAAGAACTCAGACATATGTCTAATTGGTTCAAGTGTAATAAGTTAACCTTAAATACTAATAAAACAAAATGGGTTTTATTTCATTCGATTACAAAAAAGCGATTTCTCCCATCAAAATTACATCAAATCTTTATCGATCAAAAGGAAATAAAAAGAGATTTTGTTAAAAAATTTTAGGTGTTTATCTTGATGAAAACATTACTTGGAATCACCATATTGATTATATAAGCACAAAAATTTCTAAAAATATGGGTATCCTATATAAAGCACGAATCTCAGCAAGAAAGTCTTAATAAAACTTTATTATTCATTTATACATAGTTATTTAAATTATGCCAATATTGCTTGGGGAAGTACAGAAAAAAGTAAGTTGCAACGTCTTTATCTCCGTCAGAAACGCGCAATCCGTATAATCAATTTTGCAAATCGCTTCTCTCATTCGAAGCTTTATTTTATTAAAATGAGAAATCTGAATATTTACGAGTTAAATGTATTTAATATTTTATGTTTTGTGTATATGTGGATAAATAACTTATCCCTAACCGTATTCAAAGATCTTTTCTCTTTTAAACTTGTCAGTAAATATATTTTGAGAAATAATAACTTTTTAAATGAACTTTTCTGTCAAACAAACTTTAATCAATTTTGCATTACCTATCGAGCGCCACACCTTTGGAATAAAATTGTTTTGGCGAATTTTAATTTTGAAGTACCTATTACTTTTTGCCTTTTTAAAAAAAAACAACTGAAAAACCTCATTTTTTCATTAGATAATATATTGAGTTATTATAAAAGTTAAATATATATATATATTTTTTTTTTGTTTTATAGAAGTTTTATGTTTATAGAAGTTTATTCCTATTTATTTTATTTATTGTTCTTATACTTTTTACTTTTTGATTTATAGGTTTACTCTTTTTTAAAACCTGATGAGAAGATCCTCTTGATCTTTCTTCAGACACAGATTGTTTTCATTGCAATTTTGTAAAAGTTTATTAATTTTTTTTTCTATTTTATATTTGTTAAATGTTTTTTTAAGGTTCTGACGACAAGATCCTTGCGATCTTCTTTCAAATACCTTGTTTATGTTTGTTATGTTTTATGCGATTGTAAGTTTATATTATTATTTTTATTATGGGCTGTACAACAATTAACAAATGTAAACCAAAAAAAAAAAAATACTTACATTATTTATATAAAAAATTGTTGGGTCACAAAATCGAATACCCTCTCCCCCTCGTAACAAATTATCACAAAACCACTAACTCCTCCCCCCCCGTCCATAAATTACGTCACGTGCGTGACGTAATTTATGGACGACCCCTTAGGAATGATTTAAGCGTTTCTGACGGCGATAAAGAAATTTTAACTATTAAAATTTTAAACAATGAATCTAAAAATGTATTACTAAGCTGCTGTTATCGACCACCTGACGGTCTGAGTGAGAATCTGAGCACGTTTTTTGAGCAAAATGTTATCAAAATAGGCATTAAAGAAAAACTACGAGAATGACTGTAAAATAAAAAAAATTTATGATTCAATATTTGAAATAGGAGCAATTCCCCTAATTAATCGTCCAACTAAAGTATCAGCAAACTCAGCAACTTTCATTGATAACACTATTACAACTGATATCTTCAATAACAATATACAAAAAGGTATGTTGAAAACAGATATAACTGATCGTTTCCCAATATTTCTATCATTCAACTCAAATTCTAAAAATAAAACCAAAACTAATTATAAAATAAATAAACGCATATATAATATAAACATTATTGAACAGTTTAAAAAACAATTTTCATCGCTTCATTGGAAGCATATAAATTTTAATGACGATGCAAATAAAATTTATGAAAACTTTTTTAAAAAATTTTATTCTGTCTATGATGCTAATTTTCCCATCTGTGAAAAAACAATAAATCAAAAAAAACCTAAATGCTCCTTGGATAACTAATGGTTTTAAAAAATCATCTAAGATCAAACAAAAGTTATATATATATATATATATATTACTTAAAAATAAAAATACCTTTAAACGAAAAATTATACAAAGATTACAAATATCTATTTGAAAAAATTATTTACAATAGGTTATATACTTATATTAAGGAGAAGAACTTTTTTTATGAAAATCAGTTTGGTTTTAAAAAAAAATAGTTCTACTGAGCATGCAATCTTCCAATTCGTCCGTGAAATCTCTAACTCTTTCAAAAGTCCACAATTCACTTCAGGTATTTTTTTGGATTTATCTAGCGGTGTCCCGGATAGCATTTTTTAATTATCCGGCCAGATATCGGATACCCGGATATTTAAGAATTATCCGGCCGGATACGAATAATGTAATATAACTTTAAGATTAATATTACATTAAGACAAAAGTTACCGTAATGACCTTTCAAAATGGCGAGTTTTATTTGGAAACTTTTTAAAATTAGTGATAGCTGTGATTCCATAGCTATTTGCATTCCATTCCAGATAAGCAGGGGGTGTAGTATATCTGGTCAGCAGTCAAAAATCAAAGAAATATAACTTTCATCAGTTGTTATTAATAGAGCTACCAGCTTCCACACCACCATCTCCAATCATTTAACGCCAAAATCCAAAAAAAAAAAGATTGATTTGGAAGAGAAAGGCTTTAACTCCTGCTTTTTTGAACTTGCAGAAAATGAAGGAAATTTAGGTAAGAAAATCTCTTTCTGTTTATTAAAAAAGTTTTTAATAATTTTAAAAACTTTTTTGATAAACAGAAAAACTTTTTATTAAGTTTTTTTTTTAATAACAGCTATATTCTGCATGTTGTTGGCTTGCTGATTTAAGTATAATATACATGTTATTGAATGAAATATATAAATAAATAAATCATCGTTAGCATTTAAATTCTTTTATATTACAGAACAAAATGGTGAAATAAATCTTGATCAAGTCTCCCTTGTAAAAGCTGCTCAAGAAGTTGATTTATTCTTTAATCACTCGATGATAGAAAAAAAAAAAAGAAGACGTTTTTAGTTATTGGAAACACGAAAAGAAGTTTCCATTTTTAAAAGAGTTAACTCTTAAATTATTAGCATCTCCAGCATCCTCTGTATTTTCGGAGCAATTGTTTTCCGAATATGGAAATATTTACAAGAAAAAGCGATCAAGGCTGTTACCTCAACGTGGAGAAAATTTATTCATCATAATGGAAATAAATTTATAAATGAGTGATAAACTGATGTATTTGTTGCGTTTAATTTTAACAGTATATGAATAATAAACTATTAATAATAATAATAACAGTATTGAATAGAAACTATTACATTAGATTATTTAAAAATATATGTAAAAATATAACATTTCTTGGTTTATTAAATCTTTAAATTTCTAAATAACATTAAATTGAAATATCCGATATATCGAAAACCGGATAACTTTATTATCCGGCCAGATAACGGATATCGAATAATACTGATATCCAGCCCGGATATCCGGCCGGATAGTTTATCAAGGACACCCTTAGATTTATCAAAAGCATTTGATACAGTAAATCTGGCACTTTGATTCATAAACTTAAATATTATGGACTCGGTGGTGTAATTTTGAAACGGTTTAAAAGTTATTTAACAAACCAAAAACAATTTGTTTCCTTTAACGATCATTATCAAAAAAATGTTTTAGATATTTCATGTGGTGTAAATATATCCGCAAATATATTCACAAATATATCCGCAAATATGTCCGCAAATATATCCGCAAGGATAAATTTTGGGGCCACTTCTTTTTTTAATATACATTAATGATTTGCATAAAGCTTCTAATCTTTTAAGTATTATGTTTGCGGATGATACTAATTTATTTTTATCTGATAACAATATTAATAAACTCTTAACTACTATGAATGAAGAACTTAAAATAATTTCTAGGTGGTTCAAATGCAATAAACTTACCCTAAATATTAAAAAAACAAAATGGATTCTTTTTCATTCGATAACCAAAAAAACGTTATTTACCCCCAACTCTACCTGATATTTTTATTGACCAAATTGAATTTCATTCAATTCCGATTCCATTATAAATTTCGAAGCTTTACAGGCTAGTATAAATACGTATTTATAAATTAAGAAAAATGAATTTCGCGTATTTTACAAAACGCAGACCAGAAATGCTTTAGAAGTTCTTAGATATATAATTGATAATACATTGATTTAAATAAAAAACAAGATTATTTATAAACAGAAAAATTTGTTCTATATATATGCATATATATACAATTATATAAATATTTTTTAAAATGCACTCGTGCTGAAATATATCTGGTCTGCGTTTTGTTATCAACACAAAATCCTATTTTGATTTTTACGAACGAGATCTAACTAACTCAACGTGCCACCATATCTTAAATGCAATGTTGGGGAAAGGCGCCTATGATGGCATACCGGTCATATTTTCATAAATATTGGTAATGCCAAAAAAGTGATTAGACAAACATGTTTATACTGAATTTACATTAGTTTAAGTAAAAAAAATCTCCCTTACGCACAAATATTGCTTTTATAATCAACAAAGATTGATTTTGGGATGTGTTGTTGTACTTTAAATATTTAAGATTATGATTTTATTATTAACTGCGCAGAAATGAAATTTTCATGCTTTTTGTTTCTAAGTTTTGTGCAGTTAATGGAAAACTTATTTTAATTTTATCTTCTGAACCAAGGCAGACATAGCTTGTTTAAATGAAAATGATGACGAGTTAGGTGTGTTGCAATATTGACAAGTTGAGAAAACCTTTTTTTTTTTCATAAAAACAACATATTTATTAGTGAAGTAAAAAAGAATTTTTATTTCAGTAAAAAATTTTTGGTTTAAAAAACATATAACGCAATATCTCTTATGCGCATGCGCAAAATCCTACACTTTTTTTTTTTTTTTAATTCATATATTTGCCGTACATATAACATTTACAAGTTTCGTAAATTAAAAGTTGTAATATTTACAAGTCTCGTGAGTCAAAATATATAGTGAAATTTATAATTAAATAGTACAGGCCCGACTTCAAGAAGATCGTAATGATCTTATCACGAAGCCCTTACAATGAGTTTGATATATATTATGATTATGTTAAATATAATTATATATTAAGTACTACTATATTTATATATTCTTTAAATTAAGCTCATAATAAAAAGTAAACTCAAAATAAGCTCAGAAAACTAAACTTGATAAGAAAAAATCAAGTGTTTTTTTTTGTATGTAATAAACAATTTTTGATATATTGTTTGAGAAAGGTAAGAGTCATTTAGATAATACACATAAACGAGTCAGTTCACTTTGTAGTTGATATATATGTATTTTAATTTATAGTCTTAGAAGAATTCTGAGTATCTGTTTAGATTCAGTATCAGATTTTTTAATTTTTTTTTCAAGGAATTTTGATTGCAAATTGAATCTAGATTGCAAATTGATTTATTTTTAGTTACTAGTTTGTTGTATAAATAAAGACCCCGATATGAAATTGAGAACTGGGAAAGTTTTGTTTTTTTGAAAGGTGTAATAAAGTTTCCTTTTTCTCTTGTGTTATATTTATTAACGTTATTTATAAAAAAGTTATTTAAAAATGGTTTGCCCAAGCTATATTCGCATATATGAGGTAGCTATGTATAAAAGAGAAATATATAAGTTTTAAATTACTTTGCGACAGCATAGGTTTTGTTTTATAAAGTAGACCTATGTTTTATGATATTTTAGTGTTTAAAGCAATTATGTGACTTTTCCAAGATATATTTTCATCAATTATAACTCCTAAAAATTTATTTTCGTGAGTTCTCTTAATTACTATATTTTCTATTTTTAGAGAGGGTAGAATATTTTGTAGTGTGTTTCTTTGTTGGTTTAAGTGAAATAAAGTGTATTTTGTTTTTTCTATGTTTAGGGATAACTTATTTGTTTTAAACCATATATTTAATTTTTGGAGTTCTATGTTTACATTATCATACAGATCCTTGATGTTTGTCGAAGAGTAAATAAATTTGTATCGTCTGCAAACATTTTAAATTCAAGTTTGCTAGAAACTTTTGGAAGGTAGTTTATATAGATTACGATTAAAAGAGGAGAAAGAATCGAACCTTGAGGAACACCGCAAGTTAATTTTAATAATTTACTGTGGTAATTATCATCTGTAATAACACACTGTTGTCTGTTATACAGGTAACTTTTAAACCACTGCAGTGTATGGTTTTTTAATCCGTATTTTTCCAACTTTTTTAGTAGGATTTCATGATTTATTGTGTCGAACGCTTTTGACAAGTCTACAAAGACTCCTAATACGAACTTCTTTTCATAGATTGATTCACTAATCCTATTGACGAGGTCTACGATAGCATGCTCTGTCGAGTGCTGAGTTTGAAAACCATATTGGTTTTCATTCAGGATTTTGTTTGCGGTTAGGTATTTATATAAACGATTGTAGATTATTCGTTCGAGCAGTTTTGAAAATACGGGAAGGATTGATATTGGTCTGTAATTATTTAAGGAAGATGTATCTCCGGATTTGAAGATAGGAATAATTTTAGCTATTTTTTAAATAGTCGGGTACAATTCCTGTAATTATTGAAGAGTTAAATATTCGAAAAATGGGTTTACTTATTTCTGGGAAGACATTCAAAATAATATTGGCTTGGATATTGTCGATACCCGGACCTTTGTTAATTTTTAATGTTTTAATTGCTGTTTCAAGTTCTTC